TAACGTTAAAAAGTCAGTATCTCGATACTTTTTAGAAGTAGGCTGTGCCTGCAAATATTTTTGAAATTGAAAGCAGAACGGTTAAACGTCAATTAGTTGACAGTTAGTTTTGTTGTCTGTTGAAACCTGAAACGTTTTTTTGCAATTGTGAATGCATGAAATTTAGTTTCTTTTACCTGTTTTTTTTTTGTAAGTTTTATAAAAATGCCATTTTTATTCTCCAATCAAGAGTTAGCGGATATTCATTTTGTGTATGGCTTTGTAAATGGAGACGCAGCAGAAGCAGCCAGAGAATACGCACGAAGATTTCCAAACAGACGACATCCAACAGTATTGTCTTTAGTGACGAGTCTCGATTTTGTTTAGGCATGCACGATGGTCGTGCCAGGGTTAGAAGGCGACGTGGTGAAAGGAGGAATCCACAGTTTTTTGTTGAAAGACCGGAATGTCCAACTGCTAAGGCTGAACATTTTTTCACTTGTTATTTACAGTAAGATAAATACATTCACCAACTTTTATTAAAATAAAACCATTTAAACTGGGTGTTCGGATTTATATGTCACTTAGTATACAAAATCTAAAGTAGTTGCTCGAAATGTAAACCCAATTGTTCAATACACAATTCACATCTACGAATGATCGAACGCATTATTCAAATAAGGCCTTATTTCATCACATGCATTCCTGATTCTGTCTATTAGCATATCTCTTGTGGTTACGGGAGTCTGGTACACTTTTTCTTTTAGAAATCCCCACACAAAGAAATCTAATGGATTTGGGTCAGGGGATCGTGGATCCCAGGCGACTGGTCCTCCACGGTCGATCCATATTTCTGGATAATTATCGTCCAGCCAGTTTCTAACTATTCTCGAATAATGAGCTGGACAACCATCAAGCTGGAACCAGGCCAATCTTCTTAAATCTAACATAACATCATCCCAAATATTTGCATGTTCAGCCTTTAAAAATTCCAAGAAGGTCTCAGCATTTAACCTTGCAGGCAAAAGGTAGGGTCCAAATAGTCGATTACGGTAGATACCAATCCACACGTTCACACTAAATTCATGCTGAAGATTTCTTTCCCGAAATGCGATTCTTCGTTCTCCATCCCCTGGCTGTAGTCCTTGCACAGGTTGCAAATGGTAAGGACGTCTATGGTCATTTCTAAGAACACGGTGAACATGGCTTGCTGAAATTCCCAAGGCACCAGAAACTCTCCTAACACTTGTGGTCGGATTTCTTTCAAACTCACGCAGAATCATACGGGTAAATCTGCGCTGACGAACATTTATGTTTTGATCCCTTTGAAGATTTCCAAAACCATTTTCAATTATTTGGCGATGCACTCTTACAAATACTGAGCGAGTTGGATGTCGTCTGTTTGGAAATCTTCGTGCGTATTCTCTGGCTGCTTCTGCTGCGTCTCCATTTACAAAGCCATACACAAAATGAATATCCGCTAACTCTTGCTTGGAGAATAAAAATGGCATTTTTATAAAACTTACAAAAAAAAAACAGGTAAAAGAAACTAAATTTCATGCATTCACAATTGCAAAAAAACGTTTCAGGTTTCAACAGACAACAAAACTAACTGTCAACTAATTGACGTTTAACCTTATTCTGCTTTCAATTTCAAAAATATTTGCAGGCACAGCCTACTTTTAAAAAGTATCGAGATACTGACTTTTTAACGTTATTTTATCATAAATAATAAAAAATGCATCGAACCTTAAAAATCGAAATATCTCAAAAACGGCTAACTATAACGAAATTCACAAGATACCTTCTTTATGTTGAAAAGTGCGAGGAATCAGTTTTTTTATTCAAAAAGCAAAAAATTGTACTAAGAAAAAAATTTCGTTCATTTTAATACACTACAGGTACAGTAGAGAGCGCCCTCTAGCGGCTACAGTAAAACTATGCCCATGGTTCGTTTTGTCGTACAAAAAAACCCTTGTATACCAATTTTCACTGTTATACATCAAATATTGTTCGAAATATTTAAAAAAAAACTATTTTAGAAAGTAAATTTAAACACCCTGTATTTCGGAAGCCACGCATTTTCGACCCATGCTTATATAGACTTTATGCATTATTTTTAAAGGTTCTATCGAATCTTAAAGTTATGCAACAATAAACTGAAACACCCTTTATATATGGGTGACAGGTAAATAGGTGTAAAACATTTTAGGAGGTGATAGTACAGCTCCTTTGCTATCAAAATTAGTATATAATACCATACCCTATATTCAAAGGTTAAAAAGTTATGGAAAATTTAATTTTTTTTAAAAAACAACCCAGATTACAGAGTAAAACAGTTGAGATAAAAAAAAGTTGGTGATTAAACATTCTTTTTTTGGTGGTTTCAGGTTATTATTTAAATAAATAATTCTCATAAATTAAAAAACATATGAAAACACTACTGAAAACGTATTTATTTTCATTTAAATCTTAAATGAAAATTTCTATTTTCAACTTTCACATTAAGAAGTCTTTTTTTTTCAAAAAAATCATAATAAAGAAAATGTACAAATAACTGCAACTACTTCCTCGTTTCATTAGGTTTCTAAAATGGTATAATAACATATCAGTAAGTAAACCATTTAACAAAACTATTGCTTTGCTAGAAAGGACCGCTAAGCGCATTTCATTGTACTGAGCAGGTAAACCGAGCCTTTCATGGTTCCACCCTTTTTGTTATTTTTTGTGCCCTGTGCCTTTATTCGGGTTTAAGTATTCGGAATCTGTCGTCACTTCTCGGAAGCAAGCTCTGCGTGTGTTATGAATTGACACAGCTGACGGATCAAGGAAAGGGAACTAACGCTTAGGTTAGTTAGTAGAATATCAACCTTTAACGCGGTAGGACGTACTTTTACTTTTTTTATCAGTTTTAATAATGGCGAGTTACCGTAACGAAGAATACGCTGATATTCTGTTTTGTTACGGTTTAAGTGATGGAAATTCCGTTGAAGCCAGGCGAGAATACGAAAACCGTTTTCCGAATCGGCGTATCGAGTATTTGCTTCTGTGTACCAACGCGTCAAGGAAAGTGGACAGGTTTATGAGAGACGTCATGATGCTGGTAGACCTCTGTTGTTTGACGACGAAGATCGAGAGGCAATACTGGAATGCTACGGCAGAGACCCGACGACGTCTACACGAGTTATAGCAAAGCAGCTTGGTTAAACTTAGTGGAAAGTTTTGTTAGTTTTGCATTCGGCGAGACTTTACCCTTTCCATTACACACCGGTTCAAGTATCAGAAGGAGATCCCGCAAGAAGAATTGATTTTTGTCGATACATGCTTCATAGGGATCAAGAAGAAAACGACTATTTAACTAAAATATTGTGGACCGACGAGTCTAAGTTTGACAGAGAGGGGACAACAAATTATCACTTACAGTATTGGGCCCCATGAGAGGCAAATCCCCACATGGCAAAACCAAGAGCCCATCAAAGAAGATTTTCGGCAAACGTGTGGATAGGAATCATTCATACGTATCTAATTGGACCAGTTTTTTTGCCTGACAACCTGAATGGCGAATCCTATGAAAACTTTGTGAGATCCGAACCCTGGGAGTATCTCGAAGACCTGCCTCTGAATATCAGGATGCAGATGATCTACCAACACGATGGCTGTCCCGCGCATTTCCGTCTGGGTGTTAGACAGTGGCTGGACGAGAAATATCCTTGTCGCTGGATTGGCCGAGGTGGACCGACACCGTGGCCAGCGAGGAGCCCAGATTTAAAACCGTGTGACTATTATTTATGGGGGCACATGAAGTCACTGGTGTACGCTGAGCCCATAGACAGTCTTGCACAGTTGAAAGAGAGAATTATTGCTGCTGCTGACACTATCAGAGGACAACTAACTGGCCGCATCACGCGTACCAACATGAGAAAAAGACTGCGGGCTTGCATTAGAAACGGCGGGCGTCAGTTCGAACAACAATTGCAATGAATTTTACCTTCATTTCATTATTGTATTTTACTTACCAATTGTAGTAACTTTAGTCAGTTTTTATTATTCTGTAGTACAATTACAACTGTGTAAATATTACACGTGGGGAGACATTTTGTTGAAACAATCGGAATGCAGTCCCTAACCTTCTACTACCGCTACACGTGGAGAGGGGGAAGGCACGGAAACGTAAAGCGTCGACAAATGACAAGTGATTGACGCGACGGAACGTGGAAATGTGCACCTCCCTGTCCAACTTCGTCGCATATTAACAACACAGGTCACTCTATGAATTATGGCAGTATTGAGCTTCTTGATAAAGAAAAGAGACTCTCAAAACGTTTATTTTTAGAAATGTCCAACATTTTCATGACAGATCATTGCATGACTAAAAAGGCTGATGTTAAGCAGCTCAGTGTCATTAAATCCTACCTGTTGAATTGCGAAAAGCTAGAACGGCTACATGTCCAAATTGATCCAACATCTTCACAAAATTAGAATACATTTTCTCACTCACATTTTTAATATAAACTCACATAACCCATCTTTTCAAGGTTGTATCAATATCACACAATCTTGCACTCATATGAACCACACACTTTTTTCCAAAACAAGTTATTTCAACATTTTAGTAATTTTGGGTGGAGATTTACCGAGCGTCCCTCGTGTACTTCATACCCAAAGTTGGACAGGGAGGTGCACATTTCCACGTTCCGTCGCATCAATCACTTGTCATCTGTCGACGCTTTACCTTTCCGTGCCTTCCCCCTCTCCAAGTGTAGCGGTAGTAGAAGGTTAGGGACTGCATTCCGATTGTTTCAACAAAATGTCTCCCCAATATTTTTAACTTGTTCGGGTGTATTGATATAATTTTTATTTTTTCTTAACTTTTAACGAAGGTATCTGTCGTTTTTCAATAAGCCCAATGTCCCCGTCCTTTTGTTTTTATACTGATCACAAGTTCGATCTTCTCTACGTTCTTTCTGAAGCACCTTGTGGCTGCAACCTCACCGACGAGTAAGTTGTCTGACATTTTAAATCTGTCCTGTTTGCTAGCATCACAATTGTGTTTTCAGAATCCTGATGAAGGCTCCATAGAGAATGCCGAAAGCTTGATTTTATCGTCAAAAGAGTCAACTTAAGCCTAAAAGCTTTGCCAATTTCCCAATTAACAAGTAATTGTATTTTATATATATATATATATATATATAAATATAATACGAGCCCCTTCCCACTTCAGTTGGCCCACTTCAAGATTTGTACCAAAATATGTCTTTATAAACTAAACATGACGAAACAATTTACTGCTAAAACAATTTATTTTCTCAAAAACATTTTAGATACACTCTCGTCGTAAAAAATACATATTTGAAATCACTTAGACCTATAACTAATAGAACATCTGAACAAATAAACAATGTGCGAATAAATTCGCGAAGTTAACAAAGCAACAATTGAAATATTTAACCATTAGGTAACATCACCTTTATTTTTTATTACGTCTGAAATTCTTTGGGGCATAGTGTTAACCAAGTTTTGCCAAAAATTTGGTGTAAAACAATCCCATATTTCTTGAAGCTTTTATCTCAGTTCGGTGATTGTACGAGCAGGATGTTGTCGTAGAACCTTTTTCATCTCATGCCACAAAGTTTCAATAGGTGACAGATCTGGACTGCTTGAAGCCCATTTCAAAAGTAGTACATTATTTTCTTCCATCCATTTTATAGCCTTTTTTGAGGTATGGCACACTGCACCATCTGTTGAGGTGTCCATTGTCTATGTTCTTTAGCCCATCTAAGCCGATTTTTCTTTTGCAGTGGAGTTAATAGTGGCTTTTCTTTGGCCTATAAACAAGTTGTGCAACTTTAGGGTTTTTACTTCACTTTTTTATAAGAAAACTTGCCTTGCAAGTGCTAAATCCCAGCCTCTCTATGAGTTGTGGACCTCGAAATTCTCCTTCCAACAGCGTCGCTCCACAGAGCACTTAATTGTAAATAATTGGCACGCCTGTTTTTCATGATTATTCTTCTTAATGCTCTTCGGTCGGCATTTGTGATATTACTTTTTTTCACATATCGTGGCTTAATATTAACTGAACCAGTTACGTTATATCTTCTAGCAATATTTCTCACACTGTCCCGCGATAAGTCTAAAAAAGTTGCAATTTCTGAGTTTGATTTCCCAGAATTAAAAAATTTAATTACCAGTAACCGAATTTTCTCACTAATAACCTTTCCTCTACCCATTTTGAAAACCTTAACTACTCAAAAGTATTTTAAACGTATTCTGACAGCTGTGATTAATAAAAACAATTGTCATGGCTTTTATTTTTCACAGCCACCTATGCGTTATGCGAGTGATAAAGTTGGTGTTTTCTACTATATATTATCAAAATATTCATTGTTAATATTTTAAACCTATAACACCTATAACACCCTGCTACATTTTTATTATTTGTGTTTGATAAGGAAAAAACTAAATTTCAATAGTTGGGCCAACTGAAGTGGGAAGGGGCTCGTACATATATATATATATATATACAATTGTATGCCCTAAATGTATTGACTTTTCAGAAACAGGGTGGTAAACTTTTCAAAAATAAATAATTTTTTGCTAGAATTTGTAATACCACTTTAAATATTTTATTAAAATTCGGCATATATGTACTGTCAAGAGGTATTTTTAATGTACGAACTTTCTTTTAATTTCCACCAGCGACATTCGCACCGATTTTACTTGAATATTTTGGCAGACAATGATATTACGCAACTGATTTCGCTTAAAGTAAAAACTACTCTTGAAATCCTCAGTCATTTCTAAGCAAACTTGATTGCTTATTTTTTTTTAACCAAAAAAATTAAATTACGTTTCTGTACTTGATCCTAATATTGTTAGTATGACAATGCCACTATGTCGAGAAATAGATTGAATTTCTCAGGTGAAAACCGTGCGCACGACTAAAAGAATTCAATTTTTTTATGTCCGATCCACGATTTACACCCAAAGATTTATCTGCATGGTGATATTGTCATGTTAACAATAATCTTATGATCGAAGAGAGAAACAGTTCTTATTTTTATGAAAAGCGTGCATCAGATTGAAAAAGTGATTGAACATTTCAATAAGAGAGAAATCAACGGCATACCATCACTGTCTATCAAAATAGGCAGGTGAAATTATTAAAATGCCTCTTGACACGTGTACATGTATGCCAGATTTCATTAAGTCGTATTACAGATATTCATAATCAACGGTTTATTTTTTACCTTTTTTATCACCCTGTGCCTGAAAAGTTGAAACATTCAGGACATACGATCATATGAAGTTTTCACTCAAAATGAACCTAAAACCACCCCCTTAGCTACGGACAGTCAACTAGGAAACATACTAAATTGCAGCTACTAATACTGTAAGAGATAATGCAGACTATTGAGCCAAAGATTTCATTTTTTTTTACTGTATTTATCATAACTAGCAAACTCTGCTTTTGATATGATGTTTCAAATATAAAACCTGTTCAGTTTTTGATATTTCTTTCTCAACTAGAAAATGTTTTCCATTCCTATGTTACAGTTTTATTAGATTTTCCCTTTTAGGTTAAGCTTCCAAGTCAATTGGCAAACTAATTTGGAAAGAAAGTGTATTTGAGTTCTCTCACTTTTTTTCATATACCACATGCTACAACATTAATATATGGCGCAACACATTTGATAAATATAACATTGTTCTTTGAGGCCCATTGCATCAATATCCTTATTATTGATGATGCTACTGGGGTATTTTTTTAGTATACTCGGTACCAGGAGTCTCCATTATTGATAGCAATTTAAATCCAAAATTTATACACAGTAGTTTATATAAAAATCAAATCCGTACCTCAGAGCCAGGTTAGGTTAAGTTGAGTTTTGCCTAAAATGAGTCTTACATGTTAAGTTCATGATAATATTGTGAATTTTGATTTGCTACTTGCACCATCTACCTGTAATAATAACTGAATTATGACTGCAATGCAATTATCCTAAAACTACTTATTAGGGCTTAACCTTGTCTGACTCTGAATAATGGGTCTTTTCCGCTTATCTAATAGTGAAGTGTTTGGAATATGTTTAACAGGAAAGTGATTTCTTTGATGAGTCACAATTTTCTTGTATTTTCCCATTTGTAATTTCATGTCATAAAGTTTCTCTGATTTTACTTCATGCTGCAACTCTATTTTTCTGTTTACTCTGTGTAATAAATTTTTTGGTAATACTACATGACCATGGTATTTTTAGCATTCTGAAATAGCGACGGTCAATAGTAATTATGATCTTCACATATTTGTAGCCTGACACTCTACACAATCCATGTTTATTATCCATGGAGGAACCAACATCTCATAAAGTATGCAAAATATGCAATGAATAATTTTGTAACTAACCTACCTTCATCAAGGGAACAGCTTTGTTGTTAGCTGTTGGGCTTTTATATATTTTATATATAAATACACATCCATTTGCATTTAATTGTTCATTTTCAGATCATTAACACCAGATATGGGATTTGAAGATACCACAGCTTGAGGAATTTTTTCAATGTAGGGAATTATTATTGACTGATCAACATTATTTGCAAGAAAATATGCTGTATTTGATTCATCTGTCTAAAATTTCTTAAAAGTCAAAATAAATACATAATCTAGCATCAGAATTGTCGGTTCTTTCGAAATCTAGCCACACAGGTACATTACTAAAGGAGACAAGATATTATAGAGATCAATGAGGCAATTAAGGCATCCTACAATTGTAGGAACGACGATACGGCCCTTAGTTATCCCAGAAAAACATAAGTTCCTAGGTAGGCATTGAAATTTTCAGATTTCATTTGTTTCATATACCAGACCAAACCTCAAATTGAACATAGGAACAGAGTTTGGAAGACTAAGGAGAGGGAAACAAATCGAGAAGTGAACAAATTACCGAGAAGTCAGACTTTGCTTACAAAATAACGGACATTTTGAATTATGATTTACCTCTGCTTATTTATGATTATTATTACTACCATCAATAAAATTTTCATTTTGTGTTCAGATTGCACCAAACCTTTTTATTTGAAATCTTGCTCATCGATCATCAAACTTTTGGCCAACTAATGAAATACATCACTTAGGGCTGAAAGGTCATTTAACTTTATAAAATTCCAATATAGCGTCCATATGAAAAAACAATGTAGGTCGTAGAGCTCGAAAGAAATGTCGAATTGAGAATATATGTCTACGCCGTCTTGTAGAGGAGAATAAGCAACATCGACAACATGCAATTTATTTTAAAATCCCATCTCGAATAAAGTCAGAAAAACACAAAAGTGATTTTAGGATACATCAGGTATGCGAAACAAATGACTATCTGATAATTTCATGGCCTATCTAGGAAATTCTGTTTTTTTTAAATAACTAAGGTTTGGCATCGCCAATGTATTATACATTTTTGGACTCTATTCATCTGTGTAAATTCAAATATGGCGTCCATAAGAAAAAATATAGTTGAAATGTGATACTGAAATTCTAGTTACTCGTTCTTGTAGACGAGAAAAAGTGGCAATGTTGATGTGCAACTTGTTTTGAAATCACACTGAAAATAGTCAGGAAAAAATCAAAACGATTTTGAAAAAAAAATTCCGTCTCTCTCCGGAAGTACTTTGAATTTCGTAACTTTCTGAGCGGCATTTTGTTGATTACCTAAATACGCAACTTTGCCCCCATTTAAGAGTTTCGTATTTCTTAGTTTTCGAGGTCCCAATCGGGGATCGAATTTCAAACACCTTGTATAATACTACAATGCATATAAAACAATTAATAATTTGCATTCTTACAAGAAATAACTACCAGAAGCAGTGAAAACTCGGTATTTTCTGAATTATTCGTATTTCAAAGCCAATTAAAATATGAGGTATAATTGATGTACCTATGTTGTTTTTCATATATCAGGCGATTCTTACGTCCCCTATCGGTTATGAACAACGTAAAAATAAATGTATCATTAAAATATCTTGAAATCGTACCATACTGATACATTTTACATTATTCATAGATTTAGGTATAGACCTGAACATAGGCCCATCTGCTTTGGCGGCGAAAGTGAGGGGGTATGTGCTGAACCGCGACCTTATTCTTGTAGAACTGGAAGAGGTTAAGCATCTGCTCATTCCTCGGACGCACACCCTCACGAAAGAGCCCTAAGACAAACTGTAGATTGGACGAGCTAGGAACTGTTACTGGTGCTGTAGAAACTCATGACTGCAGCGGAGAGCCAGAGGTCAGAAGGTTTTTTAGAGAAACGAGATCTATAGCAGCGCATCAGAAGGACGCCAAGACGGGTGTTCGGAAGCTGCTTCTACCTGAAAGGCTCCAAATCTGCTAGACCCTGTTGGAGAAGAATTCGATATTACCCTACGGATGCGTGAGCAGGATCCACCTCTACCTCTACCGACCAAGATCGAGTTGCAGGGAATTGAATGCCAGCGGCTAGGGTCTTTATCATTAAGCAAAATGCGCTAAGCGGACGTCTAGAAAAAACTGCAGGTAGTGCCCGTCTTTTCGGCGCTGAAACTTAATTTCGAGATTCCGTAACTTGCTCCTACAAGTTTGGATCGGGACTTCCTTACCCATGGTCTTATTGTCCAAAGGGAAGCCTTAGCTAAGTCCGTTAATGAGTATCAGCAAAATTCTCAGATATGGCCTCGGACTTTAGGAGGACTTTCAACCTTCCAGTATTCGGAGATTATTGGACGATTTGTTGCGGTATGTTTGTGGCCGGAAAGCCGAAGTTATCGAAGCAAGAAGAAAATTGATAAAGCCTAGAAATGAATATGTTTCGACACTTTTTGACCAGATCTAACAGTCTAGGGGCATCCAGCAATTTCTCAGCATCGAACTTTCTTCAGGAACGCTCAAATGCTACGCTCCCCGCGAACAAAACAGAGCTTTTACTACAGCCGTGGCTCGAAAGCCGGTGATGTAGGTTCGAGTGGAAGTAGATATTCCCGCAAACGATCTGATAAGGTGAAATCAAAAGGTAGTAGTAGTAGTAGTAGAAGTCACTTCGTGAAGAAACAATGACCTTTGCGCCACACCGTTTGTGGGAGACAATACAAGATTTCGTTCAAGTCTGGAGGGAGTTGGGTAGATACTAGCTTGACTATTTCAAATGGGAGACCCTGTGTAGCAGTATTCAAATTTTGGATTTCTCGTGGTACTCTGATTGAAAACTCATGCGTGACATCTTTTTAAGTCTAACCGTTTGAAGATATCTTAATATGAATGCTTGAAAAAGTAATGGCACACATTCTGAGTAGCTATATCGAATAAAATGGAAGAAACTATGGGTTGAGAGAGACGGGAAGGACATAGAGTTCCTGAGCCATCTACAACTTACGTTCGCAAGCATAAGGTTTGTCGGGATCACCTGGTGTTGGTTCAAAACTGTGCCCAGCTGCTTTTTTTCTGCCACGTCCGGTCCCCTTGCGCCTGCCTGGGGTGCTTGGCGAGTCAATGCGTCCCTATAACAAATATTTGTACAGTCTGAAAAATAATATCAACACTAGTTTATATTTCAGGAATGTTGATCAGAAAATCACTCGCTTTTATGGGAATTCGTTGTATGGTGAAAATAGTTTAAAAATAGCTTGAATTGTCATATGTGTAGTTTAAGCCTTAGAAGATAAAATTTTTCAAATTCTTTATATTGACAACAAAACGGAATGTAATTTTATTCCTCATTTTCAGCGTGAGACAAAGTGCCCATTTCAGCACTCAACTCTTCTGACGTTTGAATTGCATAAATCAATGAACATATTATTACCCGGCCACTAGTCTTTTTTCCTTTTTTTCTCTTCCTATAGTCTTCTTCATAGTCCATATCAGAGTCTGGATCAGGTTCATCGTATGCGTCCATTTCCAACATATCAGCTTCATCATAAAACCATTCCTACATTATGAAAAAGAAAAATTATAAAAGCATGCTAATTCAATTACATTATAAGATGTTCTAAAGCATTTATTATGAATCCATATCGGGTGTTTCAAATTCGACTCTTACTACTGGTATCTCGAAAACGGAGATACGAAGTCGGTTAATGGGGAGCAAAGTTGCGCGTTTAGATAACTAAGAAAAAGGTACTTGGAGCGTATCGCAACTCCGGATATAGACAGAAAAAAAGACGATTTTTTTCAAATCGCTTCCATTTTTGCCCTAACTTTATTTGTGGTGGAAATTCAAAATACTCAATAGCAATGCCAATTTTTCTTCTCTATAGATGGCATTATTAGAATTTCAATAACATTTCCTCCTTTGACCTCAATCAACTTTATTTTTTTCTGATGGACGTCATATTGGATTTTTACACATTCGAATACAGTTTTTAATTCTGATTCAAAAATGCATAATACGTTATACACTAAGGTCGACAAGCTTTAATTAAAACAATTCATTCTTCTTGGGTTGTTAATTCTTCATGTTCCGCTATCACAAGTGGATGGTATCTTCATAAGCGGATCGAATTTAACTCTTCAGCGTCTCCCGAGAAACTGATCAAAATGGTAGGCCAAAAAATAGGGAGGTTTTGTATAAGGAAATCCTACAATTTGGACGACGGTAATTTCTTGTGGTATCGTGAGATTCTTCGTTCCTCATGAAGTTCAAATTAGCATCATGATAGTGTTGGAGCGTTTGGCGCCATTTTGATAAACACGTTTTATACAAAGTCTAGAAAACCATCCATCCTATGTAAAAGAGTAATAGGAACAATTTTGTAGAGAATAAATGTCTTTACCATTTTGATTCTATATGGTCAACAGATTAAGAGGAGTCAAAGGCCAAAAGTATGTATGTGTCCACAGCAACCCAAAGTTCTTATCCCTCCATTACAAACAGTAGTATCTTGATATATCTTTTCCTTCTTCTTCATTTTCCATCATATCACTCCCATATTGTACTCTAAAATATATCCATAATTGGTGGCAGGTCGCGTTTCTAAGTCGAGAGTAAATTCTAATCGTCAGGAGGCCTGGAGTCTGTTTATATCAAGTTCAAAGATATCAGTGCTCTCATGTTCCAACTTGTCCTGAACATACGAAGGGGATAGTTCTAGTTGGTATGGGCTGAGGCTCAATCGACGTAAGTCTACTTGTTCCTGATTCAGACGTTCTCAAATGGTAAGTCTTCTCGCAAGATTTGGCTCCTCAACCAAAGATTGTGCCACAATCACGTAATTCAATCGAGTTTTAACCTCTCGTGCTAGGCCAACAATTTTATCCACTATTTGTAGAGGTATTCGATATTTATTTATTAAGCCAGCCGCGATTTAGTAGAAATCTCCCAAATCTAGAACATGCTCCCTCGGAATGAGCTTGACAAGAAACTTATAAATGTATTTAACGTGAAACACCAATTGTTCAGGACGTCTGAATACATAACATTTCAAAAATTCCTTCATATTAACCGAAACTACTCTTGAAGGTATAGCAGATAGGTGAGTAAATTCAACACTCCACCGACTTGGACGACCTGTATCTTGGGATCCGTTGAGTTTTGGGGCCCAATAAGGACGCCGAGACATATAACATAAAAAATTAATTAACTGAAATCACTCTTTGACTTAAAGCATATACATATTCGACTATAACCAATACATTATAATGTCTTGGACTACCTATATCTTGGGACCCGTTGAGTTTTGGAGCCTGTGCCCATTAAGACATTTGTTGAGGACGGCGAGACACATAGCATTTAAAAAAATCGGCGAATTAACCAAAACCATTCTTCCACTTAAAGCAGATATTCGCGTAGTGCCGACATACCCATTTTACCGTCTTGTACGGCCTATATCTTGAGACCCGTTGAGGTTGGGGGCCTCTCTCCATTGAAACATTTGTTCGGGATGCTTGGACGCAAAACATAAAAAGTACAGCGAAATTGACGAAACCCACTTTTCCCATAGGCGTGTTGCCGCGACCTTTCATTCAAATAGGACTATCGGTTCCAAAAATATCTAAAAAATGTGTTTCAAAAAAAAAAAAAAAACGTTGACGCCCTCTAACAGACAACTGAAGCACTTTTGCATAGGGGCAAATCATGTCCAATAGACTTATTCTGAGTCTAAATATACCTGGTACTTCCATGTCCATGGAATATTGGGACAACTTGTATAAATTAGATCTTGAAAAGAATTAACTTTTGTGCTATTTATATGAACTAGTATGAATAAAATTATATTAAATTAAAATACAATCATACATTACTTCGATTTTCCCTTGAAATAATAATATGGATATTTAGATTATGAAAACTACGAAAAAATAGCGTGAAGAAGGTTGACGCTGCACTTCCCACGTAACGCCCTTATCAGTACATAAAGGAATATATTCAGCACAAAGTAAACCCTCTGAGAAAAAAGTCAGTCAAACATGTCTATACAATTAGTCGATAGACATTCTTTGCCTGTTCTACATGTACAGCCTCTGGAAACGTCGCCTTTCCCCGATACCTAACTCAGGCAGACCTGGCACCGTAGTACCGCAGTCAAAGCATAGAGCCGCAGAAATACGTGTGATTCCATACCAGAACACTTATTATAGTCGGTGCACGACGCCAGCAGCAGCCGCGACCGATAGGTAGTAGGTACGCGATCCAGGGCTAATGTATAGAGAAATCTATGATGTGTGAATATGTCTAATCGGTGCGTAGAATCACCAAAGTTGGGAGCGTATAAATGTACAAGCATAAAAAATTGAGATAAACCGTCCCCATCCCCTTACAACCACAGCTCAAAAGCTTTTCTATCTATCTATTTTTTTTTAAAATGAGCAGGATCCTCTGCAACGTAAAAAAAGTTTGAAGGATTTTTACTTTTTTCGTTTCAACCTTCTTTCTGTGCCGCCACTGAACCGATTTTCAAAAGCTCTTGCGTCCTTGGCAGAGTAGTAACATTGTGTACAAATTTAATCGAAATCCGAACGGTAATTCTCAAGTTATAGGCGGACAGACCGACGGAAATGAGTGACATGGTTTTTCATGTGCATTTCATACAACATACAAATAATAATTACCCGCCAGTATCCGTGGGATGTAAAAGGCAGTAATTATGTATTTGCAGAGTGTAAAAGCAGTAAACCACATGTCACTACATTCTGATTTATGTCATTTATTTTAGGCCTCGAAAATAATTATGACCTGAAAATTAAAATGACTCTCTATGGAGTTATGTAACTTTGTAATATTCATTCACTTTTGTTGAGTCGTAATAATACTACTTATTTAGTTCGAATAAATCCAGAATTCTGAACTCAACTTGCTCAGGCTTCGATTTTTACACTTTACAGCCTTTCTCCTAAGTACGGCAGTATAGCTGTCCATGTTCTGTTAACTTTACGTGCTTTTCGTTTCCTGTTGAAATTGTTATTGTGCTTGAAATTAGAAAAATGACCCGTGGATACCGACAACTGGAAAATCTGCGAAAGAAGAAAGGTCACTCACATGACTCTCTGGCATTCCTATCACGTTGCAGGGACGAGGGAGTCACACCCAAGTTCTTACACATAAGACCAACACGAACATCCCAACAACCCAAGAGATCGTAGGGAAAATCATTGTATCGAGAGAGTTTACATAATATCAGATCAACGCTAAAAAACACCGTCTAGAAACTTCTGAAGATACAGATACAAACTAAGCACGAAGCTCCACAAGACTGACCGGGACTCGATATCATATAGGATGATTGAAAGCGAACCAGAAAAATACACCAGAATACAAAAGAAGCTTGAGAAGTTGTTAGAAATTCAAAGTCTCGTTACCATCAAAGACAATCGTAAAAAACTCGAGCCCCGATAAGTTAAGAAGATAGTGTGCAAAAATGAAGCCCAATCGCCTAGATCAAGTCCAACATTCCGCTGCGACAAATGTTCAGTGCAATAGGCTCACCCACGTACGATTTAGAGAAACATTTGACAACGCTGCTGCAGCTTTTTGTGGAAGAACCCAACAAATAAATCAAGGGCTCAACAGATAATATATCAAAAATCAAGAATATTATAACTCGAAGAAATGGAAATTCTAGTTAGGTCTGACGTTGTATTAGTATCACACGAATAGCACTAGACGATGCAATAGAACACATTAGGAAAATATTCCCGGATGACATAACTAACTTGATCAAGTACGTATTAACTACGACATAATCCTCCTTGAATCACACATTATACCAACAAATCAAAGGGATCTTTGTAATGGAAAAAATAGAAAAAGCTCTAAATAGAATTCACTACAAACCTAAGGTATGGTTTAGATATGTAGATGACACTTTCGTCGTGTGGAGCCACGGACTGCAAAAACTAGAAGAATTCCTTACACAACTAACAGCGTGCACAAAAACATCCACTTTACTATGGAGATAGAAAAGGATAAGAAACTGGCATTCCTTGATGTGCTTTTGACAAGAAAAGGAACTATTCTGAGGCATACTGTATACATAAAACCGGTGCACACTGGCCGTTAGATTTAGATGCCCAACGACTCGAATTACCACCCATCTCAAAAATACGGAATTATCAAGGCTCTAACTGAACAAATTAAAATGATCTGCGAACCATTCGAACTGAAAACGGAGCTAGAGAATTAAGAATCACGGATGCCGGCCGGACATCCCAAGAAGAATGAATCGTTTTGATAATGGCCGCAAAAGTCTAACACAATTCAAAGCTTATTTATTTTATAAAAAACTATTTTCATAGTCAGCCTTGAAAATTGTTTATTCAATTACGAGCCAATTAAAGGTTTATTCAAGTTTTTGAGATGCGTGTTGAAAATACATTCAAATAATTTTCCCATGTATCAACTATAACAAGCGTTATTATAGCACGACGTAACCTACCTACATGACAACTCAGCCGTAGATTAATATTAAATGCAAAATGTGTCATCATCACTAT